ATTAAACAGTAATGTCCTTAGGAGATGAGAGTCTTGCTGTGTCACTGCCTCAGAGCCCTGTCGAACACCACTGCTGGTGGCAGGGGCTGCTGATGGCAGCAGGAGGTGCCAGGAGCTCTCCCTCTGGGCAGGACACATGCACAGAGCCTACCAGATTTATTTTGGGTTGCCTGCTCCTCAAACCCCTCACACAGATACCAGTACCTAGATGATGTGGAGCTAAAAAGTGGCCACCCAACCTCAACTCTCTGCGTTGGGCTCTTGCCCAACTTTTACTGCTGGAAACACTCAAGCTTTTCTTGAGCAGCTGCTTCAACACACCCATGAATTCCCATCTCTCTTTTTAAATCAAGTCAAGGCTTTAGAGCTAAACAGCCATAGCAGAGATCAGCAGGAAAAGCAGGTCTTGCCCATGCTCAAGGCATCTTTGGCAAACAGAGCTCTTCATCCTCAAGCCACTGGGCTCTTCCTGGAGGTGATTTCACTAAAACCCTGTGAAAAGCATCAGGAGAGCATCAGCCTCAGCTGTTGCACTAACAGCAAGTGGGGCCAACAACATTTTGGGGCAGAGCTTCGTATCTGTACTGCCACTTCTAAACTCAGGGTTAGATTTTAGTGTAAGAGACTGTGTCGATCCCACAGTGTGATGCTGCGTGGCCAGGAGCAGCCCCCCTGGGCAGGCAGGGCTCTGTCGCTCCCCAGCTCCTGCCCGAAGCACATCTGGGGGATTTGAGCTCGACCCAGATATGCTTGAGATGTCCTTACCCAGGAATTTGTGTCAAAGAAAGAAATATTAAGCAAATCTTTTGCAATTATTGTTGCCTCCAGCGGTTAGTCTCAATCTCCCCTTTGCATCTTTTTCTTTTCAAATCTAGTCTTGAAGTTGGCTGCTTTTAAACTGGGTGGTGCTTTGGTGGCCTCGAGAGCAGCAGTTTCCATGGTAACTCAGGAGTACCCGTTTTTTGCACAGTCATGGTTTTAGCGGGTCACAGCCACACTGCAGCCAGAGGACCAGGAGGATCCCGAGCCAGTCCCGTCCCAGTGACACTCGGGGTGTGAGCAGGAGCCATATATGACTGAGCTTGCTGTTACCATCCCTCACCTTCCTTGACCTCCTGGTTGCAATGCCGTGGGGTCACCCACGAGGCCGTTCTGTGCCATGGGACTTCTGTTTCCAGGCATAGCTTTGCTATTTGTGCTGGCACAAGCCTGGTGTTGGGCTGCTTGTGGACTTATTTCACCTTTTCCTTTCTCTTTTTCTTCTCTTGGTGCTTTCCCAGCATTATCAGAATGGGGCTTTTCTTTCTTGATGGGCATTTTGAACCGGTCCAGGTTCTGTGGGAAGGATGCTGTGAACGGGTGCCTTTTTCAATTCCCCCTTTGCAAAGCAGCATCACCTCCTGCTGCCCAGGGGGTTTGCACTGGGGTATCTCCACATGGCTGCTGAAAGCTGAATGGCTTTGGGGGGTCTCTGGAAAAGCAGCTGGACAGGGGTTAAATCACAGCTTTTGTGGCTGCTCCAGAGCCAGGAGCAAGGAAGGGAGGAGTGAACTGAAATTCCCTTCAATGTCTGTGCACCGGAGGGAGGGAGGATTAGTCTTGTTAGGGCAGAGCGCTCGGGGTAATCCTGCTTTTGAATTAGGGATTTCACTGTCATTAATCTGATGTGAAAATAAATAGGGCAGGACCTTAATGCCTTTGAGGGAGCTACAGGCAGAGGAGGAGGAGGTGGACTGGAGGCGCTGAGCAGGGACAGGACCATTCAGCCCAAACCCCTCCAGCCTTATCCCCTTGGGAAAGGTTTGGTGATGAGGGACAATGGGAGCATCCCTGGGAAACGTCTGAGCCCTGGGCAGGGGCTTCCTCCTCCAGGCTGTTCTCTGGCCAAAGCAAAACTATTCCCTACAATGGGTTTTATTCCACCTTTCCAGCCTTTTTTTAAAAGTCAACACAAGTTTTCTTTTGTCTTTTTTCTTTCTACATGCAGCAGCATTGCCATTTTCCATCTTGCTGCTGTGACTGATCCTTGCTGGCTACACTGACAGACTCTAAACATTTGTGACCACAAAGCTAAGGGAGAGCCTTTCTTTTTCTATTAGAAAATTAAAACAACTCTTCTAGCACCATGAAAGACACCAAATTCTTCTTTGGTGTTAAATGGCCAGAGGACAGTGGTAGCTCTACCTCTCTTCAAGGATCAGGGCTCTCATTTCAACTCCAGTGGCAATTCTTCTCATGCAGGTGATTATTTAACCATAAAAACCACAACTGGATCATCTAGAAGAAAGAAAGAAGTTTTTAGGAAATCTGATGAGCAGAGAGCCTGAATGAAGGTCTGGGGTAGTTCAGAAGAAGGGTCACTTTACCCCACAAACATCTCCAGCCTTAGACTTCAGTCACTCCACTGAAATAAAAAATCAGGGGCAGATGCTGGATCCGGAGGGCAGGCAGGTTTTTCTGCTCAGAAAATTTTATTCTTGAAATGTTTGTGATTTTGTATCACAATGAGAGTGATCTGAGCAGCAAACAGGCACTGACCCATAAGCCAGAAGAGCTTGGGGTGTGGGAAACCCTGCCATCCATCAAGGTTTCCCCGTACTCCTTAGGACTCCCTTCAGCAACAGCTCTGCCTCTGCCTCGCTAGGGACAGACTCTTCCATGTTTTAAGAAAAAAAGTCTGTCTTAATTGAACTGCTCCATGACCACAATTCACTATTGACAAATCAGTGTTTTCTAATGGAAAACAAAATCCAATTCTTGATCAATTCTGCTAGAAACAAGGGCTCAGGCCGTGGAGAGCGGGATGGAGAACAGTAACACAACCAGCAGCTCTTGGTGGATGGTGGATTCAAAAGCTTATCATCTTGTGAGGGGAAGAGCCGAGGCTGTACGCTTCCCCCTCGCTGGACCAGCCGGGGATGGAGCCAGCACAAGCCCAGGATCAGGGTCCTGGGGCAGGACAGAGCAAGGTTGGAACAACCAGGTACAGGACCAGTGCACTCCCCTTCTCCAGGGAAGGGGGAGACCTAATTCGTTAGCAGAGTTATACATTTTTTAACAGTGCAAAATCCTTTTATTTATTTTTTTTTTTTACTTTAAAGAAAAAAAAATCTGCAAGTATAATAAGTGAGAGGAATGTAACTGCAGGTACCCTGGGAATAGAACAGGAGCCCTGTTTACATGGAGTTCCACATGAATCCCATCAAGTGATGCAAATACGGTAACTAGGATGTGGCCACGAGTTGGGCTTTGTTTAGGTCTGATGTGGGCTGTTGTCTCTATGGAGCAGGATTACCACTCTGCTTCTAATTAGGTGAAAGGGAAGGAGATCCAAACAGCCCTAAAAATGTCAAAAATCATAAAGAACTCATTGAAGGGAGGGAGAAATTAAAATAAATCGACATTGGTATTTCAGCAATGCACAAGTCCTCTAGGGCTGTGGCCAGGAGCTTTGCCTGCTCCAGCTCCTTCTGCATCACTGACAGGGTGACCTGGGTTTTTATTTAATTTGTTTATTTGATTTCACACATTTCCATTTTAGACAAGTGGGTTTCCAAGTCTGATGTGTTTGGTTCCCAGCATGGGCTCCAAGGTGTTCCTAGCTCTGAATTTTGAAGTGAAAGCCCTCTCTAAAACAAGAAGGGGGTTGACTTCATGTTTTAGAGAAGCTGCTGGACCTGACCCTGACGATTTCACTTTTTTCTCTTAATATGGATAAATGAGAGTGTAGGCCCTGCACTTGCCTAATCTTGTGCTGTGATAAATCTTGTGTTGAACTGATAGAATGCCAGATAAAATACTTCTAAAAACAGCAGGGAGAAATATGGTAGGGGTTTTTTCTTCAGGTTTCCAAAGCAGGAGAATTTTTGTTATCAGAAATAAGACAATGTCTATGTGCTTCTTTCTCCGTGATCCCTCACTCACATAAGCTTGTGTGTTTGAAAGCATAAAGGTTTATTCATACACAGATGTTTCCAATTATTTTCCTAAGAACAGTTCTCTCATTCATGCCTAATTTGTGAAACTCCTGTTTAGTTCCCCCAAATTTTTTTTATTGTTTTTAATAGTCATACCAGCAGCAGTAATCATAAGCTCTGGGCCTATTTTGCGCTGATGCGAATCACAACTTAATACTTTGAAACTATTAATGTTAGTTCAGTTGAGCACTGGTGGGTCCTGTAAGAGAATATAGTCTTTTGTTGTTTTGGTGCCTGGAGACATCCAACCTTGAGCCCTTTCAGTTCCTTTTAAAGCCTGTGCTGTGTACCCCGGGTCCTGGATTACATCCCGCATCCCAACATGCCGTCATCCTTGGCCCTACCAACTTGTGCCTCCAGCTTGGCTTTGTTTTGCCTTCATCCTTGGTCATGATGTAGAGTCCTTGAGACTTAGAAAACAGGTAGGAATGAGATAACCTGCATTCAGCACCCACTCTCATGACTGGAGATGGAAACAAAGAGAGGAGCCTCACTGTGTGGAGTAAGGAACTGGGCACAAGCCAGGTTTCTTGTGGTGATGGTGCCTGAGTTCATTCATCTTTGTTTTGATTTCATTAGCTTGGTAGTGGAAGAGTTAATGCTAGTGGACATGTGGGGTGATTCACTGCTAAAACCCTTTGAGATTTGGAGTTGAAAGTTGCTGTGGGAGGAGGACAGAGGCAGCTGTGCTCTCAGCTACCCCTGAGCATGCAGGAAGAACAGAAGAGGATGAAATGTGGGGGACCTGAGGTGGAAAGCGTAGCTTGTGCTTCTCTGGCTTTGCTGCTATATAGGAAATTAAAGGCATCCTTTGTCCCTTCATCTCAGCAGGGGTACCCTTTCCAAGGCCCTTTCCTCAGTTGCCAAAAACTTCAAACCTTAGCAAATCTGAGATGTTTTCTCTTCTTTACTTGTGCAAGGCGTGAAGGCTTTTTGACACATAAATAGCAGGTTGCCTCAGCTTCCCCCCTCCCGATGGCCACTGGAGTGTGTGCTCTCCTTAACACCCTCCTCTCACCTGGTTCGAGCACGTCAGCATGCTGGTCATCCTCCTGAACTGCGTCACCCTGGGCATGTTCCAGCCCTGCGAGGATGTGGAGTGCCAGTCGGAGCGGTGCACCATCCTGGAGGTAAGGATCCCGTGCTGTCCCACTTGCCTGGGATGTGTGGGGTGGAGGGGGGTGTCTGCCCTGGGAGCTGGGACCCCCATCTTGACCCTTTTCCCCAGGATCCAGCCCCGAGACCCCTGCCCATAGGGATAGTTTTTTCCAGTAAGCCACACTTTGGCATCTAAAGCCTGTCCTCCAAGGAGACCTGCTTCCATGGCCCTAGGTGAGACTCAAAGGCTGATTGATGTGGGCTTACCCCAGCAAGATCCTTTCTCTACATATTCAGTAAGGCTAGGGGAGCTCAAAACTGGGCATCCGGCTCCCACTGGAGGTGTTCAACACTTTTTAATTACAGGATGGACAGTGCTGCAGGGAACCTCTTGTTTGCAGTCAGTTGGTTCCACCCCAGCCAGCATCTTCTGGATTGCTGCAGTCTGGTCTTTGCAGTACAGCACCGGTGACTCTGCCATTTCATTCCCTTCTTCATGAACTAAAAAGCACGGGACAGGCCCGTGCCTGCTCTGCTCCACAGCAGAGCCCCACCAGCTGAAGTGCAGCACTGCCAAGTGCCAGGATAACTGAACTTTAGGAAGAGCTCTCAGACCCTCGTTGGCCACCCCAAGCTTAGTGGGGCATCATCACATTTGTCACTTCATCCCTTGCTGCATCCTGGCAATCCCCTCGCTGCCATATGCCTGCAGGATTCATTTTGGAAGCACATCCCAGCAGCATCTGGTGTGTGGGCTGCACCTTGGCGCTGGGCTTCCTGCAGCAACTGAGTCCTCAGGCTTGGCACCAACTTTCCTTGTTTCTGATGCATTACATCAACCTCAGCAGGGACTACCGACACGTGGTAACAGGCTTGGTTTGTGCAAATCTCGCACAGATCTGCTGCTTCACTTCCCTTTGGGCATTTCAGCCATACGGGAAGGCCAGTGGGATCCTTCCAACCAGCCTCTCCTGCCTCTTGCAAAGATTGGTCCAGAACTGCCTGCAGATGCCAGGAGTAGCAGAGTTTATCATGAAACCCTCTTTCAACCTTAAAAGAGGATCCCTTAAATGCAGAGCCAAGTAAACCTGATGAATTGAGAAGCCACTAGAGGTTTGTTGTGGAATGGGATCAATTTTTGAGAAACTGCTGCCACCAGAGGCATCCAGCACGGGGATTGTCTCAGAGGGTCAGGCACAGGGTTGATGTGAAGCAGCATCCAGAGATAGTAAGTCCACCTCCTTCACCAGAAAATGTCACACTGCAGGCAGCTGTAGGCTGAGCATCCCTCAGAGAGCCCATCAGAAAGTGTCTGATCTCTCTTGAAAGGTTACACGCTACATGCCAGCCATTTTTCTGCATGTGGGACTTTGGAGGATGCCTGTTCCTGCCAGAGTGTCCAGGCAGACAAAGAGAATCCTGCCTGGATGAGGAGGTGACATTATTGAATGTTCCTTGCTTGCTTCTTTTTTTTCATAATTTAATCAGGTTGCAAACAGACAGCTTTCATGGTCTGTTCTCCTCAGAATAGACACTCGTACAGCTGCGAGGAGCCCAGGCACTGAATTTGGTTTCTAATACCATCTTAATGATGACAATGTATATTTGCAAACCCCAAAGTGTTATCCTGAAAGGTTTGCAGGCAGTAAAGGACTGCAAGTAAAGCCATTGTTATCCCTCACGCTGTCACAGCTTGCAGGAGGGAATGGAAGCCTGAACATGAGGTAGGAAAGCCTGAACTCCTTTATGGAGGAGTTTGGATGCCAGTTATTAAATGAACTGAAATAATGGAGCATGAATTAAATTTCTGTGTAGTTTATCAAAGGAAAGGTTGGTTGATAAAGCCAACAGGCAGAGAAGATGGTGCTCACACGCCACCACGCAGAGGTACATGGATGCGCAGTGAGAACTTGGCTTTGAGGTGGACGCTCTATTATTTTTACCATTAATCCACTCAGGCCTCAGTATGGACGTGCCAGAGACACAATACCAAACGGTATGGTCATTAAAAGAGTGGTTTGCACAGCAGCAGTCATGTCTGTAGATTGCAAAGTTCCTGTGCTTTATCAAGTCTGACATTCAAAACGACAAAGCCTCTGCATGTGATTTAAAAGCAATCTGTATCTCCTGATGTTCAAGTTTACAGGCAACGTGTAGAAGAGTATTTACAACAGAGTCCATTTCCTGGTATCCAGTACATTCCTTTTTCATGTGTGTAACTGTAGTCTCCAGGAAGGCTGGAGAAATCACAGCTCTCCAAGTCCCCGCTGCTCTGTAGAAGTCATTCTTGAGGTAAAGGCTGAAGCATGTTCTGTAGGGCAGCAATGGATTAATTTGTGCACCTTTATTTTCTCTTCTTGTTTTCACGGTAATCTAAACCCCAAACTTTTGACCTTCATTAAGAGGTCCTGCACTGGACACACAGGCTTGCCAGTGGGATGCCCTTACAGTTACTTCTTTGGCATCTGCTTGATGTGCACATTTACTCCCAGCTGTGTCTGGGTCTGTGGGTAGAGACCTGGTTGTTTTGAGTCTGGGAAGTCTTCAGAGGTGAAGCACATCCCCCTGTGTTAGATGGGACAGATTCTTTCTAGGAGGTGTGAGCTGCCCCGTCTGGAAACACAGCTTCCTCTGCAAGTTGCTGTGACCTCCCAGACCCAACTGTACAACAGTGATGTCCTTTTATCTTTGTCAGTAGATTAATAGAAGCTGCTAATGCTTCCCAGGCAGTGGACTGACCCAGGAGCTGTGCTCAGGGGATGCCACCACCTATCACGTATTGCAGGTTTTATTTCTGAGTTCAGTAGGTGGCACTTCGGTACCACTGCTTCGCCTTGCAGCGTCTGCCAGGGTATGCAGAGTGCCTCTGCGATAGGAGCGCTCAGGTCTCTGCTTTTCCTTTCCCTGATAAGAGAGCGCAGCAGAACTGACTGTAATAATCTTTTACTGGTCTCCAGGCATTTGACGACTTCATTTTCGCTTTCTTTGCGGTGGAGATGGTCATCAAGATGGTGGCTCTGGGGATCTTCGGGCAGAAGTGTTACCTTGGAGATACGTGGAATCGTCTGGACTTCTTCATCGTGATGGCGGGGTCAGTAACAAAACCTCATAAATTTGCTCTTCGTGTTGAAAGCAAGAAAACCCAAGAGAGCTAAATCTGTAGGTTGTCCTGGCTGGTTTTCATAACATCTTGTGAAAGCTGCCAGGCTCAAGTCTCATAAGTCTCATTTGGTTTCACCTCTGGCAACTATGCCGGATTATGGAGTGGGGTATGAATGTCAGGGCAAAAGCCATCTGGTTGTCAGTAGCAATCCTTTGGTCAGTGTCATCTCTTGTTAAATCAAGTACACGCTGATCTAGTCCTTGCGGTGGCCGGTATGTCCCAGTGCTTGCAGTTAAGACTGCTGTCTCCAGAATGGGTGGGAAAAGCACACAGCAGCTCAGCCCCACTCCTGCTATGTGACAGCATTAGAGTGAGGCAGAGAGACAGAAATCAGCCAAACAAGAAGAATCTAGCCCAAAAGTCTGGTTCAGGAGGTTGAAATACCAGTGGAAGAAGCTGGCCATAAGTTGACACAAATTACAAGTGCATGCAAATGCCTCCTGTAAAGTTCTCTTGGTTTACATTTTAATACCATCTCTCACAGCTGCTTATTTGTGCAGGATGTGTTAATAAACTGATATAAGGAAGATCTGGGTGTTTTTAACACAAATGCCCTCACACCTGTAGGAGAAAACGGAGTGGACTAAAAAGCATGGCAAGTCTAAAACTTTTTTCTATTAATAAATGGATTTCAGATACTCCCGGCTCTCTTATCAGCTTAGTATACCCTAGAAAGGGATAGACAGCTTTAATTACAGAGCTCTGCCTTATTTCTGAATTCCTGGGTTTATAATGACCAGCCTGGGGTTAATTAGAACATTCCTGTAATATGTTGGGGCATTTTTATCCTTACATTAGTGATGTACAATCTTCACTGCACTAATGGAGTTTTGTTTTGCTCCATGTTATTTGTCTGGAATACAATTAGGAATGGCCTTACTGGTTTGAATAAAACATGAGCTCTCCTTAGCAGAACTTCCTTTTGACTCTGTGTGTGGTTACAGCCCAGGAAAGAACAGCAGGGACAAAAGAAGCAGTTAATTATTTTTTCTTTCCAAAGCTGCTGCAACATTAAGCCAGAAGTAGTAGGGGAAGAGCAAGGCTGTGGTTGCAGGGGGAATTCGGGATCAGAAATCTGCCATCCATAACCAACGTGCCGACAGTGTTTCCCCACGCTGAACCTGCAGGATGAGTTCTCCTGATGGGCGAGCAGAGGTTTCCCACATCATCAGACAGATCATCCCAGCGAAGCAGGAGAGTAAAACAGCACATACAGGCAGAAAGGCTGAGCCCTCTGCTCATACCTGAGTCAGGTTTGGCACCAGGATCTTTGTTCATGTAGCACCCGGGACGTGGGGAAAGGCAGCTGGTGAGTCAACTTGGTAGTTTTCCAGGGTATTTTCCCACCCTCCATGGCTGGCATATGAGAAGAATGAAACCAGCAGAGGCATCAGAAGACCCCGATGGGAAGCCTTCCTGCCAGTCTGGCGTTACTCAGGCTGAAGATGAGAAGAGGAACAGCCCCTTCTCTGGCTGATCTGGGCCATCTCCAGATGATTTTGGTGTATTTGAGCTGTACCTGTGACGTTATTTGCCATCTCTCGGAAGAGGCTGGTCTGAGCGCTGGACTGGCCAGTAACACTGGTGGAGGGCAAGGAGAAGCTGCACAATGGGCTGTGGTCCTTCACCTCTCCCACTGCCATCATTCGATCCAATGTCTGCTTCTAAAACTGGAGGTGGTTTTATCAGGGATCACACTACTGGAATAACAAGAGCTGCGTTTTCCAGCAAGCGGATGGATGTGATGAAGTTATGAGGCTTTTTCTGATAAGAAGGAAAATAAGTGATAGGCAGTGCTGCCTGCTTTGTTTGTCTCATTCGGTCTCCTCAAGTAAGCTGATTTGGCTTACTAGCAAGTATACAAAAGAGAGTGGAGGGTAAGCCGGGAAACTACAAAATAAACATATCTTCTGCCTCTAGCAACAGATTGTGTCTGAAGTTTGTTCCAGCACTGAAAGCCCTTTCATGTTTTGCTTGCCTGAGAAATGTACCCTGGAAAATTTCAGACCGAATGGAGCTTACAACCTTTCAGTTTGTCCAGCAGCCAAGTTGAAAGCATTTCCCGAGCATCAAAAATGTTGTCCACAAGAGCTGAAACCAGAGAGGTTTCTTGTGCATCCAGTCCCTGGAGATGTTGCAGGCTCATATGATATGCTTTGGACATCTTTAACTTGACAGCTGAAGGACTGGAAACTGTTCATGGTAGAAGACATCACAAAGGCTTGTGCCTCCTTTTATTCAGTACCCAGAGGCTGCAGGGAATTGCCTCCCCAGTGCCAGTCCACCTAGACCTCTGGTCCCTGCATACCCAGAATTTCCAGCTCCAGCAGGTTTCTGTCAGGCATTTCCAGGGTATTCTTGGTTTACAAGTGTGATATGAGAACAGGACTCCAAGCTTGGCCTTGACAAAGAAACCTTTGACTTTTTCATGAAGGTTTCAAATGTTTTCACTGCTTATAGAACGTCCAATCTGGAATCCATCAAGTGTTTCAGGTTGGCTTTGGTGGGCAGTGTAGATCCTCCTGAGACTTACTTTCAAATCCTAAATGTAGTATCACGGAAGTCCAAAGTATCAGGGTCAGAAAGTCTGTTTCCTAGGCCAAATCCTGGATTATTCATCTTTTATCAGCCCCATTGGAACTCCAAGTGCCAAGTAGAAGTGAGGTCCCAGGAGTTGGCCCTTTAACACACTAATAGTTGCATGTGTTATGCGAAGTACAAAACCAGCTCCCACTGGAGCATTTCATACTTTTTACATGCTAATAGTAGTTCAAAACCTGTATCGGTTACACTAAAATCCACTTACTCAGCCACCCGATAAATTGCGAGTGTGCTGTATTGGGACCACGCCAGCAAACAGATTCAGGCTTCGGCACTGTTCACTTCAGGGACTTTAAACAATGCTTTGTCTATTCCTGCAAGGTCTGTTTGAGCAGACACCTGGTGCTGGCTCCAGGCCCCTCAATGCAGGTGTGAACGGGCATTTCCGATGGCTTTCCCACTGTGTGGTCCTTCATGCAGCTCCGGGCTGCTTCCCACTGCTCTGCTCCGGCTGCTTAATGAACACACGTTAGATTTAAAACCTGTTTTCATGCCGTGCTGAGTTTTAAAGCTGTTCATCATGTTCAGCTCAGCTCCTATGTACAAGCTTTAAGGTGGTTTTAATTTATAAAGACGCACTAACTACTTAAGAAGAAAATTATATCTCTGAAAGGTTATCACTAAAAACAGCTCAAAATCAGCAGGGCCTCTGCACATAACAAATTAAGGCTAATGGGCAAAAGTCACCTCAGTGCAATGCCAGTGATATTTCAGGGTTACACCAAAGAGAAACAAGCATCAGAACATCTAGATATTCCCAATTAAACTTTGTAGAGCAGGGCAAGGCACCAAATGCAAAGTGCAAGGCTCCAGCAGAGCAGAACATGGGCACATGGGCGATGATATGCCCGAGCAAGGCTGGCCCAAAACCAAACCCCCTTCTCCTGTTGCCTGAAATCCATTCAGCTCTTGCTTCTTGATGGCACGTAACAATTCTGGTCCACCCTGGCTGCAGGACACAAGTTGAAAATCTCTCTTTCTACTGAGGCTTCTGAAGTACTAGGTTGTAGCATTTCAGCTTGTATTTGCCTTCCTCCTTACATATCTGTTTGTTTATTTAAAAAAACAAAACAAAACAAAAGCTCTTTCTCCATGGGATCCAACAGCTTACTCGCAGGGTTGCTTTTGATGCTGTTATGTTATTTGAACAGGCGTGGTGAGAGATTTGTGACATATTTACAAGTGCTTCCCCGTAGTCAAACTCATAAATTGTAATTACAGCCATGCTAACTAGCCATAACCCCATTAAAAATCAACACTACACACATTTGCCACTCATTGCTATAAAAGACCAAGAAAACTGACTTGACTTAACATCCTTCCCAGCCTGGAAGAGAAATGTTTATGTGAAATGGAGACGGAGCATGCAAAAGAAAATGTTCCCGATTCTTAATAATAAAATGGAGCCCAAACTACTTTAACGCCATTTTTCGGCTTGGTTATTCACATTTTTGTCATATGGGGAGAGATAAGCTGGCGTGACAATACGCTGGGGTGCTAGTAGGGGGTATAATATCATAAACATCTTATTGGCTTTGAGCTGCACGGAGTTGTGCAGTAATCTCCCCAGGAAGGCTGCAGATGTGCCGCTGGCCAGAGCATGATAAACTAATGGAAATGGAGAGCAGCATGGCTGTGGAAGCTGAGCATATAGGTGGGGGCTCCCCCTCTGCCCTGATTTCTGTGGCCCCGACTTTGCAGCTCCTTGTCGTGCCAGGTTCTGCTTTCCGATGTGTTACCCGTGCCTGCAGCACCTTAGCCTGGAGCACGTCTGCCTGCCAGCCCCTGCACCATCGCTGCTCCTGTAGGTATTTTCAGTCTCTTAGAGGCTGAAATATCCCTTCTATCCCCCACTGACAGCGTGATGCACGTTATGAGCTGCAAACACGGAGTGGGTGGTTTGGCAAGCCTGCGCTGTGGCTCCCAGAGCGCAGCAACAGCCCCAGTCCCCCCATGCCCAGAGACTGAGCACCCCACATCCTAACACCTCTCCTCTTTCCCCTGCAGCATGATGGAGTATTCTCTGGACGGACACAACGTGAGCTTGTCTGCGATTCGCACCGTCCGGGTACTTCGGCCGCTACGAGCCATTAACAGGGTCCCGAGTAAGTAACACCTTTGTCCACACCACAGCCACACTGCCTGGCTCTGCCTGACTCACCCCCCGCCCGAAACCGGGGGGGAAAGCCATCCCAGATGGCTCTCTAAATGCTGAGCCTTGCAGTAGCTGTCTACTCTCCTGCTGCTGAGAGCAAGTTCATTTATTTTAATTTTTAATGGCAAGTTAGAGATCGTTTATTATGATTATCAGTGTTAGTAAAGGGCAAGGAGTAGATTTTATACCTGGGGTGCCAAATTTTTGTGGCTGCTTTCCAGTGTTTTTGTGAACACTCTGAGGCGAGTACCTCTGCTCTTAGTGCAAAGATAATAACAAAGTTGCTATAAAGAAAGGGGAAAGGTCAGTTTGCAGGAGGATCTTCTTGCCCCGGATGGGTTCATTTTCCTCTCTCAGCTATTTAAGGTCTTTCCCTTTCTTTGTGTTCAGGATTAGAAGCGCAGCAGCCTCTCTTGTGGGTAAAATACCACAGAAGGTTTGCTGTCATGTAAAACAAAATTGGGTTCACCCACGATAGAAAGTTCAAGTGGCCCCTAAATCCATTTTCAAGTGGCTTCAGCTGCTTGTCTTCTAAATCCAATTTGAAAGACAAACCAACAAATTGAAATAATTTCCTGCTGGAATCAGCTGTCTGCTGAGCAATCCTTTGCAAGGTACTAATTTCATAGCGCTTTCATCATCTTTTAACCAAAATCCATTTGATTCAAAATGCAGCAGCATTGTATGGAAATCATAGAGCTTCCTTGCAAAAAAAAAAAAAAAAAAAACCCAACCAACATTTCCTGTTTTTTTTAAAAGCACATTTGAATGACACAGCCCCGCCAGTCCTCACTGAACATCCTGCCTAGATTAATTGCCCATCGCGTCGGCACATCTAGGGACAGCAAAACAAACTCCCCCAGAAGGGTTTCGATTCCAGTACCTCAGATGAACAGGCAAGGGAACAGATGGATATTTGCGCACAGGAGTCTTTGAAGTTTCTCTCTGAGCTCAAATTCTTCAGGATTTTTCTTTGGAAAAAAAAAAAATCTATAAATTCGACAGTGACATCATTAGAAGTTAAAAACAAGACAAAAAGAAACAAGAGGCTAAAAGGGACCATGAAACCCTCCGGAGCTTTTGTTTTCCTAATGAAGTTTTGTTACCAGGGTTTCGGAGCAGCCCGAAAGCACAACACGAAGTTTTCCCCCGGGGTTTTGAGCACGGTGGCTCCATGGCCTCGCTGGGATGGGGAGGAGCGGAGGAACGCTGGCACGTGCTCGGCTCGGAGCCCTGCCAAGGTTTCAGGCTGGGGCGAGGATCAGGCTCGCTCCAAAGTTATTTAAATCCATGAAGCTCTTCGTAGCTCTCCCTTAAAATAGTGGGAGTCTTAGTCTGGGATTCAGCTAGGCTCAGAGCAGAAGTTGGGGGAATTTGAGGATTTACATGCCTATTAAACTGCAGCCCAGGGATCGAAATGCCTCCAAGTCTAGGTGAAATTTTGATCTGGGTCCAGCTTGCGTTTTTCTTCCTTAGGAGTCTTGATACTGAAGCTTTGAAGGAAGCCTTTTAGGCTTCTTCTGCTACACTTGCCACTTCAATTTTTAAATTATTTTCCAAAGATGGGCAATAGAAAATTCTCAATTTTTTTGTTAATTGTATGTGAGATTAAATCAAAAAATCTCAATCAGTGTTTGGAGTTGAGTTACCCAGCTTGTCAAGCAGCTAGGCTGGTCTTAATATTGTCTTGAACTTACTACTAGTGTCTTGAACAAGTGCCAGAGCAGGATTAGTATTCTTAGAAATATCTCAGTTCCTGGAGGGCAGATAATCACAGACTTTACTTGTTTATGAGATGCTTATTTCTAACATTGGTACTTTTAGTGTTTCAGGCTGATATAATCTAGGATCTGTGGAAAATGGATAGCGACAACCCTCTATTTTGTTGTATTTTTGCAGTTTCTGATAATAACTGAGTTACATTTTGGCACAGGCTGCCCAGAGAAGCTGTGGCTGCCCTCTCCCTGGAAGGGTTCAAGGCCAGGTTGGACGGGGCTCTGGGCAACTTGGGCTAGTGGAAGGTGGCCCTGCCCGGGGCAGGGGGTGGGACTGGATGATCTTTAAGGTTCCTTCCAGTCCAAACCATTCTATGATTCTATGATACATTTTTAGTCTTGTGTCCATGGGGATGCTAGAGCTTAGCCGGGGGATTCCCTCGGACATCCACCGCATCCCAACCAGCAGTGTGGAAGCAAGTCCTGCTCAGCCCCATCCATGCCATCCCCAGTGCTGGGACGGTGACACTCCCCCGCTGGCAGGAACAGGGTTTTCAGCTTGGTAGCAGTCGCAGAAGGACATCGAGCAGGCAGAAATTGTAGCTGGGTCAGAAGACACAAGCCTGGTGTTTGGTGGCAGCACAGGGCAAGCACGGACCCATGAGAAATAGCCTGGCAATTTATCCCCATGATGCCTGGGCATTTTTCTGGGCCCCAGCTAGTGCTATTAGCTCTTCACTTCCAGGCACAATAAATTCACCCACAAGATTATTTCATTTTTATTTTATTTGTTAAGAAAATAAAGGAGAACCCCAGCCAATAAAAACATCATCTCTATTAGAAATTATTCCTTGAAAATGACGGGAAAAATATAATTCCTGCGATTTATATGGTTGGCAGGGGCTGTAGTTAGTGGGTTTTTTTAGTAGTGGTCATTGTTTTTAAAAATACATTTCACTGCTTTATTTTTATTTTTCTACTATGTGGTTTAAACCAGGCATCATGGGGAATGGGAACGAAAAGAAATCCTGATCCTCGTTTCAGCCTAACTGATGCTCATGCTCTTTTCCCATGGCACCCTTGACATTCTGCTGGGAGCCCAGAGCACCCTTAGCGGATAGCGAACAGATGGATCCAATCTCAAGAATGGTACCACTAAACAACCCAAAATACCAAAAGTAGCTGAGCGGAAAAAAGTTGTCTGGCACAGGGAGATAAATTTTAACCATTTTTGGGAAAAAGAAGGCGAGGATATTAGTGAGAGCGGGGAGGGGAAAAAGAAGAAAAGCCATGCATCCTCTTTCCAATGGGAATTAAGTGAGTCTTTTCTGCTCTTCCAAAGATAGATTTGCAAGGAAAGTCTGAAGGGCAGCGCCATGGGATGTGCTCCTGGGGGGCTTGTGCTGATAGCACATGTTAGGAACAAGCATTACAAAATCAAACCCCCGTTGCCTCCAGCTCTGCTTCAGGCAGAGGCTGGTGCCATCCCCGTGGCTGACACCAGAGTTGTGGTTACAGGGGATGGCCGGGACACTGGCCGCCATCCCACACCACCTGTGGCACTTACCAGTGCAGGCTGGCTGCCAGCACCGTGTCCCTTCCCCACAGGGTGGCATTGGCGCCAGGGTGGCACGGGGATGGGATCTGGAGGGCAGCCGGCAGGGCTGGGCGCCAGGATCCCGGCTCCTCTGGAGAGGCATCCGCTGCCGGCGCCAGCAGCAGGGAGCCACACCGGAGCCAAGACACAGCTGGGCATGGAGACCTTGAAAGGCTCTTGCCTGGGGATGCAAAGGTTATTACTCACACCTAATTATTTATTAGCACAGACTTCTTGGCCAGGGCAGTTTATCCTCTCGTGCCGTGCTGACAAGGTAATGTCGGCTCCGGCCCTGCTTGTCTGGGTTGCATTTCCGCTGGCAGAGCAACACGAGGAGGGGAGTAAAGTGGTGTGACGGGGCTCTGGCTCCCTGCTACGGCCTGGGACGTGCCAGGTTGGATGGGTGTTGCTCTCCTGGAGACCCTTCTCCTCCCAGCACCCATCCCTGGGGTCTACAGATGCCAGGCTGCAGCCCAGCATCATCGCTGAATTGGCAGGAGAGGCATCAGGCATGTCCTGGGAGCTGGCTAGGGGGGAAAAAGCCAACGTGGAAATTGATGGGGGAAGAGAGAATGTGTCAGTGTGACTGCTCCTCTCTGTTCAAATGGGATGACTGATGGAGAGCAGCATCCTGCTAGGGGAGATGGAGAGAGAAAAAGCTCCATACAGTCAGGAAAAGGTGTTTGCAGAGCAGAATTTTAGTGGGATAAAATGCCTCTAAAGGTGGCAGTGTCGCCTTGCCCAGCAGATGCATTGATTTCCACCATGCCATAAACTTGAGCCCTGCTCTCTGCTGAGCGCTGGGCTCCCGAGGCTGTTTCTGGTTTTATTCTTTTCTGCAATTTAGAATTTGTCTTTGTCTCTTCCTCTTTTCATTAGTTCTCCTCTCATCATTTATCAGCTGTTAAAACGGTGGCTGGTTGGTGTCTCAGAGGTTCATTTAACCTCTGTTGAGCTGCTGAGCTGCAAGTCATTATTTCCTTTTTATTCCTGTTTTATCCTTGAGTTTGAAGGTGCCCTGACATGTGAGATGGGGCAGCTCCCACGTGCCAGCCCAGTCCCTGCCTCCTTGCCCAGTCTCCCCTGGGCAGTGATGCTGGGAACATACTGGACAGGAATACAAGGGTTGGCTGAGGCTCTGCAAGGTTGACTCAATCCTCGAATTTCTTATTTAGGATGAAAGATCTTGCACAGAAATAAGCATTTCCCTGGCAGCAGAGGTGCTGGGGCAGCCCCTGCTCTGCACCCAGGTTCTTGGGGAGCCTTGCAGAAGGGTGGCTGGGAAGGTCTCCCAGCAGCCTGCTCAGGAGGAGGGGATGGGAACAGAGCTGAGAGCTTTCCTTAGAGGAAGACACATTTGCATCCTGCTTTCCACCCCTCAAAAAAGTCAACATTTCCCCTGCTTGGTAGTGCTGAGGCCAGCAAGGAGAGGAATCCTCATGGCAGAGGAGTTTTCCATGGAGGACACCCAGAGAGCAGCCGCAACTATCATCCTACACGAGATTCTGTATTGTTTAGGGGAACAATCTGTGTGATTCATGAGAGAGGTTCAGTATGTTTATAAATATATATTTTGACAATTTCTCAGGTGGCTGATGGTTTGCAGGGGCGTTTCTCCAGGAAAGACTGTCTTGCAGCATTGCCCGTGTTTGTGTGTTGTTGAGTGTTGTGTTACTGAAAACATTGGGAAACCCCACCCTTAAGTCCACCCTTCGGAGATACGCTGTTTGTTCCCATTTGCAGCTCAGCCTTTTGTACTCTTTACCTTCCTTTTCAGCCTTAACGGTGATGGGCAAGAGGTGGCACAGGAGCATTAGAAGGTGAAGTGAACTTGCCCATCAGCTTTCTTAGCCCTCAACTGCTATAACTAAACTTAGGCTGCAGTAGCTTTGCATTCCTGCTCTCCCTGGTCTAACATTGGCTGTAGTGCCCAACTGATGGCTTGGGTGACTTGAAAAAGTTTTTACAACTGCCTGCATGCTGTATTACTTAGAGCTACATTTTTGGGAGAACTTTGTAGAGTGGGGCTGATGGTTGGACTCAATGATCCCAAGGGTCTTTTCCAACATGAATGATTCTATGATTCTATAAACATCCCAGTTACTCTGCCTGGGATGCACTGGCTGCACAACCAAGCTGGGAATGGTGTGGCATTCCCACTCTTCCCATCAAAGGGCTCCTCTAACCTGTTTTCTCCTCTCCCCACAGGTATGCGAATACTCGTCACCCTGCTCTTAGATACTCTGCCTATGTTAGGCAACGTCCTCCTCTTGTGTTTCTTTGTCTTCTTCATCTTTGGGATTGTCGGTGTGCAGCTCTGGGCAGGGCTGCTGAGAAACAGGTGTTTCCTCGACAGGAATTTTGCAATGTAAGTACAGCAAAAAAACCTCCATCTTTTCTTTCTTTCTCCCTCTCTCCTGCCAGAGAAACCCCAGCGGTCAGCGGAGTTAGTGTCCAGCTGGGGTGCAGCCAGGGTGGGATCCAGCAGCGCTGCAGCTGAGAGCATGACATGGCCGTGCCACACAGCTGCAGTGACAGCTCTTAACTGGGCTGTCATCTTGCTTCTTCACAAGGTTGTTGGCTTCAGGACTCTTGAGTCTGGCGAGGTACTTTTTGTATGAAAAAAAATCCACTTGCCAGCAAGTTAACAGGGTTTTGGAGTGGCTTTTTCATGTTTTCTTTCTGCACCTGAAGGATGAGGACTTCGGTGGTTTGGATTATCTCTGTCCAAGGAAGCTGAGATCCCCGACTCTGGGAATTTAAGGATTTAGAACAAACAAAGGCGTTACAGCTCTCCTAAAATTGCCAGTGAACAAAACTGTACAGGTCTGGGAGGTCCCCTAGCACACCACACCACCTGCCAGGGTGGGCTGATGAGGTGGTCTGCATGCTGGTACAGACAGCACCATGGATATGCTGTGAAACACATAAATAAATCTTCGTGAGTGTGTTAAGAAGCTTGATGTGAAAGGCATTAGAGACATTGGTACACTACTCTCAGTCTGGGACAGGCATCAGGGATTAGCAGCACATTCGTTTACCTGCTCTTTTTGATATAAACTTAAGTTTGGTTCTTCCCAGCTAGGCAGTTGCACAGACCAGCATTCCTGCCAGGTGCTAATAGGCCTTAATTGCCCTGATGAATCCTCACCTGGGATCCCCATCTACACCCTCCCCATGGCCCAGGAGCTCTATTTAAGCTCAGCCTGTGGCTCTTAGTCCTGGTTTGAGCTGTGCTGTTGGTGTGCCTGTCTTCAGCTCTGTTTTTGTTCCTGGTTTCTTTGGCTTCTGCCTGAGCTCCCTGCATGGGTCCTGAATGTGGTTCATCATTTGCCACATCTGGGGCTTTGAATGGACCCTGCTGCCAGCCCTGGGCTCTGCCTGCTGTGTTCAGGCTGTCAGTGCAGTGCTGCTGGCACTGGAATGAGTCTGGCTCATCCCCTGCCATGGGGCAGTGTGGTTCTTGCTGGTCCCCAGCAATCCCTCAACATGATGGCAAGCTTGAGCTGTTCTGCACTTGTCCTTTCAGAAGCACAGGGTAAGGGCACACCTTAAAATCCATCAGCACCGCAAAAAGATCAAAACCAAGTGCAGCCTGCGAGCCTTCACAGAAAAGGGAGGTCTGCCTGGGAAAATCCTTCCAAAGGGCTCCTGTCAGAGACTGCTGAAGATGTTAGTGGATCAGAGGTGAGGAAATGTCTGAGACCAGCTAATCGGGGCAAGTCTAGTTCAGTAAGAGGAGACAGAGCCTGTAATTATATCTGTTTGTAATCATCTGCTGTCTACAACTCGTATTGTGCCTGGAAGACAAGCAGAGATTATCCCTCAGCTCTACCCCAGGTCCTGTTTCTGCCTCTCCCTGAGTAGTCCTGTGGCTTTCAGCTGAGAGCCTTTCTCTGTACTGCAGACTGTCTCTGATGGCACTCCTTATCCCATCAGAAATGCTGAAAGGCAGAAAATCGATGAGTCTGCCATGTGTGTATGCTTCTGCTCCTGCATTTTGATGCCCCAAACTCACAAGCTCTCTCCTGCACTCAGAGCAGGTATTTGGTGGTCACCAAGACCCTCTATCGCTCAGAGTAACCCCTGAGCTGTTGTTTAAAAGCCCAGAGTGGTGTTAAAGCTGTGCTTGGGTGACCCAGTTGCATGGGGCAAGCACTATGTGCAGGCAGTGTTGGAGCACAGGGAGCACAGAGCTGTAATTAGCCTCAGTGAGTCCCTCTCATCTCTTTGACCAGGTTTCGAAAATGCTGTGTGATTTCCTGCAAAGTGGAGCTTTTAAAATTAACCATAGGGGAAACATTCACTAAATACAGATATTAAGCAGGCTGTTATATAATGGCCATTAGCAGCATCAAAGGCGTTGCAGGATTTTCTTATCAGGGTCTCAGTCCCGGTCACAGAAGGCAAAGTCAGGCTCTCTGTGCTAAGCGTCAGGAGCTGTTTGAAGAGACAGGAGATTTGTAAGAGATCTCCTTCCCACTTCACTATAGCTTTGTGCTGGCTTCTGGGTCCCCTTCAGCAGCAGGCAGGGGTGAATTTGGGTGGCTGGGGGCTCTCCGTTGCCCGTGCACAAGTCCTGTTGCTTGATGCCACGTGTTCAGGGATACTGTGAGCAAATTTTCATCATTCCAGAGAAATGGGGCCGCTCTGTTTCAGGACAGGGCTAATCTAGCTCTGCTGGTGCTGGTATCAGCATGAAAATGTGGGTTGTTCTGATACCATCACCCAGCCTGAAGCTACTGTCTTGGTCTGTGTTTTGCTGGGTTAGATTTAGACCTGAGAAACCTGGCTGCAACGAGCCAGTCCTTCCATTTCCAGCTAGAAGCTATCCCAGGTTGATTGGAACTTGGTGTGGAAGTTTTGGGGGATCCAGATGGAACTATTGCCATCTTTTCTGTAATTCCCAATTCTCCTGAATCCATAGTTCCAGGCATCGGGATATGCTTCACCCCTTCAGTGGTCTTTAACATCCCAACAGCAAGTTGTATAGGGGAAGAAGGAGTGGAGCGGAAGTAACAGGGAAGGCACTTCAGGGTTACATCTACCTGCTACTGTACAGATGGTCCAAAATATACAGCACTGGGCCCAACCTAGCAGGGCCTGCTGACCAGCAGCAGGACACCATCTGCCTGCAAGACAGTGCGGAGATACAAAGTCAGGCCCAGGGTTGGATTGGAGCGGGTCCATCACTGAGTCCTTGTGCTCCATCCCTGGGCTGAGCTGCTGTGCTCGGCATCAGTGCTGGAGAGCCCTGACCCCCCCATCCCCTTCCAGGAAAAGCTGCCAGTGGGAACAAAACCAACAGCAAAACCTTCACCCAGGGGATTCAGGATTAAAGTTAAGCTCTGGTTTTGGTTAGAAGTAAACAGAATAGAGCTCTGCAAGAAAGGGGAAATGAGATTCTGGTTATTTAGTTTTGTCTGCCAAGTCCCACTAAATCCCAGTTCTGTTGTCCTCAGCCTAAAATAATGTTTACCAGCCCTTCAGCAGGCTGTGAGGGGCTGGAGGATGGACAGGCGTGCTGTGCACCCAGGTTGGGGCTGAGCAGATGATAATCCTGGCTCAGATTTTCCTTATAGCCCCATGTAGGGGAAGACCTGAGTTACTGGTGAGACTCACCCTTGGTGGTAGTGTCAGACACTCCCAGATGAAAACAGAACTGCTTTAAAGTAAGGGTGAGCATCTGAACACAACCCAGGGTGCCAGGCAAGGAAGGGTCATAGCCCCAAAGCTTTTCTGGAGTAAAGGAAGTGTAAGGGAGCTCAGAGACCGATGCTTCAAATATAGTTTCTTATCTGCTGCATGCTTCTTTGCACGCTCGCTGGCAGCGGCTTTCTGGGCCATTCAACTTTACAGTAGGCATCAGATAGAAGAAGTGACTTTGATTTTGCCATCATTCTTCTTCCTGTGGAAACCTTTTCTTTTAAATCCCTCTTGAAAGTTGGCTACTTCAAGTAAAGAAGCTATTTTTAAATATAGTACATTCTGATATAAATTTGGGGACTTCTTTGAGGTGCACTGCAAATACCTGCTTTCTCTGTCTTTGAAAATTGCACTGTTGCAATGCAGTATGCTGGAAGGAGGTTGCTTTATTCAGGACTCTCTCTTTTAGCACTGACTTTGACGGAATTACAGGCAATTACTGGGCTGTTGCAGTAGCGAGTTGACAAGCAATAAGATGGAGTGGGTCACTGCTGTTCGGGACATGGGAGAAGGTGTCACTCTCTGACCAGCTCTGGAGACCAGAGCAGTGCCTCAGAAACCTCTTCAAGCCCTGGGGAGCTTGTTGGCCAGACTGTGCTTCCCCTGGTGTTGCACAGCCGTGCCAGGATGGGCTCCACTGCTGTGTCAGTGAGTGCAGGGGGAGCCCTGACAGTGGGAGCTGGAGGGGGAATTTCCTAAAGGCCTTTTTGGTTGGTCTGGTCTGAGAGAGGAAGGCTTGGCCTGCATGTGTGGGAAGGACAAGCAAAGACAGCAGTTTATCTGTAAGATCTACAGGGTGTGTCTTCCCCACCACACAGCCCCTCTGGCTCCCTCCTGCCATCATGAGCTGCTATCACTGTAAATAAAGGAACTGGGTCATAGCCAGTTTCTCTGGGTTGTTGCTGCTGGGACTGCTCCTTGCTCTGTGTTGTTACACAGAGAAGTGTTTTCCCCCTTGTAGAGGCTTTCAAGGAACTCAGGGGCTTGGAAGCAGGAGAGGAGAGAGAGCTGTGAAGTGCTTTGTATTTATTTAGTGCTGCAGGACAGTTATAATGTGAGCACTTCAGTCTTAATTAACTCCATACCTGCTTGGCATTGTACTGCCTTTGGCTCCTTGGCTTTTGTAGAGCTTCAAGAAGACACATACAGCTAAGGCAGACAACTCTGAGTTTGTCTGAAAGGTACTTCTGCGTTCTGCTTAATTGTTCCTCCTGGCATCTCTCTGTGCTGCAACACTGGGTTGTCAGCAGAATTTCCTTCAGAGAGCAGCCTCCTCTTGGAGGGAACAGATTCTGCTTGATGCTGAGTTTCTTCCACCTTTTCCCTTTCTTCCTCTGCTGCTCAGAAAGCTGAAGCAGGATGGCGCTCAGGGCACAAGCCATACTCCAGCAGTTGTGGATGATGTCCTGCGTAGGAGATGGTTGGGCTGGGAGGACTGAGCCTGGGGAAAGATGGAGCAGAGAATAATTGTTCAGCCTCTTTTGACATGGGTCAGAATGGACTTTTCTGCCCCACCCTGTGCCCAGGGACAAGGAAAGGGAAATACATTGCAAAGCTGCTGCAGGCCCAAAGAAAGATGTGCACTGGGCAGCTGGCCGAGAAAGGGGTGTTAATCCTTTCTAATGTGATAACAAGAGCCATGCTGGGGCTTGGTTTCTTATGTCTTTTCCCTAGAGCACAAGGGTCTCATGATTAGTGGATTCATTATCATTATAAGTTATTTGGACTATGCGTGTTGGCAAGTAACGAGGAAGTCAGGTTGACCTTTCCTGCACGTGGAGGTAAATGGCCTTGGCAGAGCTAGTTCATTTATTTTACAGATATTGGGGATTCCCTCTTTCTGTGACACTGTTTCTCATTCTTGCTCTCCTTTCTTCTTTCCCCTTTTTGGTTTTGCCAGCAGGGTCATCAAGTAGAGGAACTAGAAGAAGGTCTTAAATTGGCAGCACTTGCTGTCAGTTGGTGTGTCCCTTCCACGCTGCACTCGGTGGTGGCAGAGCATCGCGCAGGTCCCTCCCAGCTGGACGGATGCTCATGGTGTCTGTGCCCAGGGCAGACATGGAAGAGGGAAGGGCTTGAAAAGGGCTGAGCAGAAAGTGGCCCCTATGCAACTGATTTTGGCCTGTTACAGGGAGGACTTCTAGTTTGTAGGTGATTTTGAGGGCAATTGCAAAAATGAGCAAGGCAGAGAAAAGGGAGGATAAAATCAGTTAAGCGACAGCAGAACCAAATCAGCCTTTATCCACTCTTTGCAGTCAAGCTGTGCTTTGTTTTCCTGCGTTTAATTTCCTCCCACGGCCACCAAAGTGTGTCGTTCCTTTGGTTCTCCAGAGGGTTTGTACCCAGATCTTCTCTACGCAGCTTATTAGATCACAGCCCAGGGCACTGTGTCTGCAGGCAGTTATTTCTCCTTCAGCCCAAGGCTTCCTAAATGGTGACTCATGGGAAACATGCAGCCTCTCAGATCTGTGTATGTGGCTCATCAAGGGCCTTTCCAGTTGCAATGTGTAGTGAATAGAGAAGCGTTGCATAGGAGGAGGATTGGTTCTGTAGGTCCCTAGCCTGGTTGTGTCCTTCCCTCCAACAAAACTGGGAGCGTGGGCACCAGCAAAACTGGCTGGCATGCTGCTCGCTAGCCAGCCATGTCCCTGTCCAGCCTGCCCAGCTAGTGTGGGCTACCAGGAGACCAGAGATCAGCTCTGGGGGTTAAAATAAAGATGCTTTATCTGGAAAAATGCTTTATCTGGGACAATGAGCATGTTTTGAGTCCTGCAGCTGGGAGGGCAGGCAGCTGCGGAGTTGCGTGTGGTGCTGAATGTTGTGTATATTGTGCCATGGTGGGTAGAGGGAGCTTGGGTGTGACGTTAGAGCAGAGCATCATGCTGGTGCATCAGCTCTTCTGTCTGAGCACTTCTTCCATGGTCAGTGTTCTTGGCACAACATACGTGTGTCTGCATCTGAACACAGAACTGCTCCCAGGAAAGGAGCTTGTGCATCCATAGCTGCTAATTACACAATCATCCCTCCAGATGGTCCATCTTTTACTGCAAGTCCAGCTTTGCTCTGGATAGAATCCTAATTACACTGGCCCATGAGCTGCTATGTGCCAAGCCTTCCTGTCCTGCCTGCTGCCAAAAGGTGTTTGTGATCAGGAAACTCCTGCTGCTGGTGGTGAGGTGGGGTGATGCTTCCAAAGCGGTGAAAGAAGTAAGTTTCTGCTGAGTTTCACAGCTCCGCCTGACTCTGAAGCAGGTTTTCCTGGAAAATCAGTGGTAGTTTGGAAGAGTATGTCACTGGAGTGGCACATCCAGATCAAAGAACCTTGGTCAGCATTGTTTTAAGGGAAACCAGAAAGAGCAAAGGTTGTTCCCAAGCCTGCACAGGGTCGTTGCAGGGCTGAGCGTTCCGTGTGTACTTTCAGGGCTGCAGGTTACTGTCTGAGATTTGCCTGTGGCTGGCTGTGCTGCAAGCAACAGGTTTCGGCACTGAGCTGCCTAAAAGCTTTGAGTTTGCATGACTTGTCACACTGGGGATCTGAGAACTGCAGAGATCTGTTGAGTCTGAGCTGGAGGTCCAGGTGCTTTGATGAGAAGATGCCCCATGAGAGCTGTCCTGCCATCACCTTATGGACTCTTAGAGCAGCTCATTGCCTGTAACCCACAAAGTCCTGGTTTTAAGAGTGGTGAAGTCAGCCCTGGGGTAGCTGGTCATACCCCAGAGTCCTGTGGCCGTGCTCCTGTGCTGTATTAGGCAGTGCACAGCATAGTCAGGCTTGGTCTAGGCTCTGGGGGTGTTAGACCCCTGTCACCACCACAGGGTGCAGAAAGGCCCGATCCCAATGTCCTATTTGAAAGGCTTCAGAGCTACTGAGCACTGAGATTCTTGGGAGGAGGCTAGTGAGACATGCACCCATGGCCTTTCAAACATGGAAATTTCAGAGAAAAATGTCCTTCCTGAAGCTGGGATGGCTCTGCCCTGGGCTGTGTCCTGTGTCACAGAGGTGCAGAGCCCTCCCAGACCTGCCCTGGGTGCGCAGGCTGAGGCAGGCCCTGTGGCTGTAAGCAGAGATGTCCCAGGTGTGGTGTGGTCCCCACCACGTTTGAGGGTGTGGGAGCCCTTTGCCCCTGAACTGAGCCCCTCTCAGCGTACCTGCTACGGCCAAAATGGAGCTGACGGGGCTCTGCCTGCCACTTGTGAGTTAGGAAAAGCCACTTCTCAGGCATTTCTTCTCCTCTTCCCTCTGTTTCTTCTCTCAAGTTCCCCAGCTGTCTTTGCTGAAGTCTGTAGCACTCCCTGACGAATCCCTACACCTCGGTGCATTTTAATCCTTTGCAAGCCTCCGCAATACCCCCCTCTGTGTGACAAACCCTGCTGGTTGTAGTATCTGATCTTCTAGCAAACACTATGCTAGCGTAGCACTCAGCCTTTTTTTCAGCTTGTTTTATATGGAAATTTCCTCCAAGTGAAACCAATTCGTGGGAGGGGAAGGAGAAGGCTTTTAGGCAGTCTTGGAGGAAAAACATTTTTCAAGTTTTTCTTGTCTCTTGAATCTAAGGCATAGAAACTGCGAAGAAGATATTACAGTTTTGTCTAGAGGTGTGGGAACACTGTGCAGTGGGAGGGGAATAGCTGGTGAATACATTTAATTACCAGTGAACAATGCCCAGTTCCTCTGATGTGCTACTCTTGCCTATTCCTGAAGCTGTATTGAACCCTCAACACCCATCTCGAGTAATTAATTGATGGAGGAGAACCAAATTCTCCAGGAAAGTTGTTCAGGGTTGATTTCCCCTCAGCCCGGCTCTGCAGCAATTGCTCTCTCCTTAAAGTGCAGTTGCTGAGTGACTCTTGCTTGACTCAAGGGTTTTGGGGAGCAATTTCAAGCACTTGTATGGAATAACACTAGTTTTGTAGTCATTAGAGTCAAATTTATTCAATCGTTAGGTACATTCAAAACCAGATAAAAATACAGCTGTCCTATCTTGAAGAATTAGCTGCTTATCTTTTTCCCACATCTTGCTTGGTCATATAATTTGTGTGTTGCCTTTTCCCTTATCTCCTGACTGATTATATAGCATCTTAGATCCCTGCAGTTCTGAACACAGCAGATAGTCAGATCTAGGATTTTGCACCTTCTCATTTTGAGCAGTGCTTCAGCAGTATGAGCACCAGTACGAGTGCTAATCCTAATCCAACAGCATGAAAAGTCCCAGGCTCTGCCTGCTCTCTGATCTGCCCCGGAGCACAGCTTGGGAAAAGGCACGTCCCTGTCATGCTGCAATTAAAGCACTTGCTTATCTTAGCTTTAACAGAGCCATAAACTTTATCCAGGCCAATTAAATCAGATATGCAGTAAGCATACAGTTCCCATTAATGTGGGCTCTTTCTTTTCTTATGTAAGTACGGAAGGAATTTGAGATGGCCTGTGGCTGGGTCTCTCCTTGTTAAAGTTCAGCTCACTCATCACAGAGACGTGCTGAGGGGCAGATTTATTGGGAAGCTGCTTCGCCATCAGCTTTTTTGAAGCATGTTCTGAGCAGCTCAAGAGCTATCTTAAAATCCTTAGATAGAAACAAAAAATTCCCTAGGTTTTTGGGAAGCACCTGACCTGCTGGGATTTTTCTCTCTGTACCCTCTTGTTTCAACTTCCAGCTGCCCTCTTCACTTGGAAAAACTTAGGGTGATCTTTAACTGGAAGATCATGGGTGCATTACAGGATGAAAAAAGCTTTATAGACAAAAGTAAGGGCTGAGATCAACTGTGGCTTGCCATCCCCACAAGCACAAATGAGAAATAACATACACAAATCAGGCACAGAAACCAGTACCTTTTGCTGCTGGTGAAACAAGGGATGTACTGTTTGTTTTCACCCTTCTCTTTCTTCCCCCTCCAGGACATACAACCTTACCTTCCTGCATCCGTACTACCGGACCGACGAAGCGGAGGAGAACCCATTCATCTGCTCATCGCATCGTGAAAACGGCATGCAGAAATGCTCCAACATCCCAAACAGGAAGGAGTACAAGGTGGAGTGCACCTTGAGCATGGACTCCTACACCCCAAGTTTATACAACCCTGACTTCAGCAGCAGGAATGCCTGCATAAACTGGAACCAGTATTATAACGTATGCATGGCAGGGGACGTAAACCCACACAACGGAGCTATCAATTTTGATAATATTGGATATGCCTGGATAGCTATTTTTCAGGTAGGATTCTCCCAAAGATTTTTGTTTCTTTTTGGTTTGTCATCTTTTGCTTGGAAAGATTTTGATAGATGCATCAGAGGAGAAAGGAATTAGCTTGCACCTGTGTAAAACTTCAAATAAAGATACATCAAGTAAATGAATCGGACAATAACCTGCACAACTATTCAAGAGAGTATTCGGGGAGAATAGCTGGTTTTTCAGTGCACCGTAGAAGAGAGGGAAAATACTTCTTGAAGCATACAAAAGTATGGCAAGTCCTAGCACTGCAAATCAGTCCTGGATAAATCCCAGGGATTTCAGAGAGTTAGGGTCTGTCTTTATTGCTGTAGTATCAGAAAATGGAGAGTGAGGTCAAAGTCCTTAAGCAAGATATATTATCATTCTAAAACATAGGAACTAGCTCAATGTCATGTTTTGGGCTTGATTCTAAAATTGCAGGGTTATACCTGTTAGCACGGTGGAGAGAGGAAGAAATCTGTTCTGACTAGAATACCTGTGAAGAGATACCGTTCACGTGGAATTTGAGTCTCTCTTGATCCACACCTATGCAGCTCTTCACTAGAGACCAAGGTGCTTCTAGCTCAGACTGGGGGAGCCTTTACAGGTGATAAAAACACTCCAACTGAAGCATTTTCAAAGCATTTGTAGCTCTGGAACATTGGATAGCTCATCTACACAGTTCAGAGGCTATGGTCTCTCAGGGCTAGCCCATTTTAAATGATCCATGTACTGTTTTCCATTTTTAATTTGCACTTTCTGGTTTTAATACAATTTCTTTATGCTTTTGGCTAGATGCCCTGTTTTATTTAGTCCTCCTGAAGTGTAGGTGATGTCTATTCTTTAAAGAAAAAATTCTCCCTTTTAGTTTTGTTAATGATGAATAATTACCCATTTAGAGCTATCTGTGAATTTTCTTCTAGTTTCATGTTATAATATGAACTTAATAACTTTCAGTTTTCATCTGGGAGTTGTAAAGGGGCAATTGCTTGCTCCGAGCATCTTGCCTGCTCTCATGCTCAGAGTAGCACACCTTGAATCACACTGGTGCTGGTGTCAGAGGCTTAAAACCAAATCCAGAAGGGTTCAGACAGATTCCAGGTCTCTTCTGGGCTATGTTTTTTTAAATGCTTTAGTTCTTTCCTGGAATTAGTATGTCAAGAGAGGAGCTGCCATAGTAATTTTGAATATTCCTGACTGGTAGCAAATGTTGCATCAAGGAAGGAGGGAAGTCAAAGCAAGAATAGTAGACAGGTCTCCGGCTGCACTTGCACTCTCCTTTTTCTGCTCTTGCACAGTTCTTTGACAGAGCTTGGTGGATGTGCCCAGGAGCTCCGGTCTGGCTCCCACCACGGGGCAGCAATGTTCTTGCCAGAGAAAGGGCAGAGAGCAACGCGTTGCGGAGTGCCTGTGCTAGTGTGGTGAAAATGAGTCTTCTTGAGGGGTCCTGCTTCCTTTTTACATCCAGAGCCTTTTTGCAGGCTGCAAGTTTTCATTTCATGTTGGTATTTCATTTCCTCGGCCTGAATGTTCAGTTTCAGCCAGGAAGAACACACTAGCCACAGCAGAGGTTTCAACTGATTCCTTTGGGCAGAACAGAGTGTCTGGCAAAGTTGGATATTGTTTCCATAGATCATTTTGGCAGCTGCCAGGAGGTTTATGATTGGTTTTAGTGCTGCTTAGACCATCCAAATGCTAAAGAGTATTTCCAGCCAAAAACTCTTCTTACATCTTTATTCCTTTTAGAAGTCAGGACTTGCTTTTAGAAGCTGAAAACCATATAACTCCAGGTAAAGAAGCAGCTGTTGGGAGTAAGGTGCTTGCTTAACTTTGATATGGAAAGAGTAAATCATTACTGCAAGAGGGTAGATGCTAAATCAAAACAATTGCTGTAAGCAGAGAACATTTAACAAATAAAGCTATTGAGTTGTGCTCTCATTATATTTAATAGTTGAAGCTGGGTAGCACCAGGTCAGCTAGATGAGGCCTCGAAGTAAGTAGTGCAGAAAGTAGAACTGATGGTTTTAGTAGCTCAAGAGCTTCCCTGTCAATTGATATTGAATTACTGGGCAGAGAGCGCTCTGCTGTGTTCTGGATGAGACAGGTCCAATTGTTCTTATTTCTTCTGGGGAATAACGAATATGTAGTACTTCACAAGAATTATGATGGTGGACTGAACATCAAGGTCTGGCAAGCCTCCAGTATGCATAATGGCAATCTTAGGACAAAGCCAGATAAAGCGTCCCTCACGATTTATCCCAAATGAGTTGGAAATCTAGCATGGTTGAAGAGCTGTCAGAAGAGAGGTTGGTGAAATGAGCCCCTCAGGTGAGATTTCGAAGGAAGCTTCTGAGTTCAGTGACTGCAAGTCATGTCCAAGAGTTTACAAGGGCACAGTTTGATACTGTGCAGGCTGCAAAGAAACAAAACCAAAAGCAGACTTCGACAGGGAAATCTGAAGATCTCTACTCCAAAATGTCCTTGCGAATGATGTGCCAAGGCAGGAGGCCAGCAGTATGGCCAAGCTCTTTCAGCTGCCAGAATTTGATTTAAGCAGCCAAGCTGAAAGACGTTTAACTTCATGGTAGTGATCCTGAACATGGGACATGGCAGTGAAGCTGTGTCGGTGAAATGCATTGTTGACCTTCCAACTAGAAGAGTAAGTCAGAGGCATTGGACAGGAGAACCAACCTAGTGCAAATAAAATTTTAAAGGAATAAAAATGGTGGCTTCATCTATGGGTGTTCAAGAGGATAATAATTCCTTATGTAATCCTGCAAATTATTCATATTTTGATTCCCCTCATTTGTTGTGTAATAGGCTAATTCATGTATATATTTGTTACAAAGGCAAGTTCAATGGCAAATTATGGGAACTAATTAGCTTATTACAGAGTAAATGAAAGGAGATGGAACCTAAATTAACTGTGAGGTTTGGCATGATATTAAGATCCCTTTATTGCACATGAATTTCAGCCGCAACAATAAGAGCAGTAATTACAGGTATTGTTGTCACACTACAAATGATAAATTACCCACCTAACCAAAATCCAATTGAATTTGAATTACTGACAGGCTCAGTGCAGCAACCAAAACACTGCCACCTTCCTAACTATCAGTCTCGGTATGGCCAGCCTGAATGCAGAAACCCTGTTAAAACAAAAGGAGGTTGGATCGCTGGTAAGATACACAGTCAGGGAGGAAGAGATGACTTTGGTTAATTTGCAAACCACAGAACCATATCTTGGATGATTTCATGTCTGACTTGCAGAGAATTAAGACCTATAATAGCACTTTACATCAGGAGGCAATGCTTTTGGCAGAACTAGTGAGGCAGAGTTGAAGGAGCAATAACCATCAGCTAGGTGGAACCAAAACGAGATCAAGGGGAAGAGCTGTTCCTCTGTGCCTCTTTCCAGAATATAGTTGGAAGAACTGAACTTTGAGTGCAAATGTACGGGGAAAAATTTTAGGGATGTTTCAGGATATGAGGAATTGTAGAAATTTCAGGAAATGTCCATCCAACACAAGAGATAAGATTTGTCTGGCAATTTAGAGGGGCTGTGACACCACTGGTGCTGGCTGTTAGCTTTTCTATGTCCTGTGCTTCATGTGTGTTTCTGAAGTAGTTATGTTTTTCTAAGAGGTTTCCCTTAATTAAAGACCCTCTTGAAATGAGTCCTTGGATGCAGCTCTCAGATTCACAATTCCATTTCTGGCTTATGTTTTGAGTGCATATTGCTTCTATGAGGTTTTGCTTAAGAAATCTCAGTTAACAAGTTCATCAGGTCATACAAGTAACACATCTCTGGCCCATCATCAGAAGGCCCTAGTGAGGGTATTCGGAGGAGACTGTTTTGCATTCAGTAATCCCCTTGCTGCTGTCAGGAAAAAAAAAAAAGAGCCTGGTTGTGTACACGAGAGCTGAAGACAACCCAGCAGGCGCATGACATAAGAATGCCCAAGAAAGGAAAAGCTGAATCACCTTCTGAAGAAAGATGTCTGGAAACGGAGCATCATTAAAGGAACTGTCAGAAGTAGCAAGAGTTCAAGGTGTTATCTTGATAGCGTACTTAGATGGAGATCTTCTCTTTGCACCTGGTCTCACTGAAGCCATTACAGCCACAAAGGTGTGGGTGACCAGCTCAGGAGAGAGAACAAGATTGGGGTGGGAAAGTAGAGGAATTGATGCCACCCACTTCTTCCTTCATTTGTCCTTCTGTGGATGCTTTACTCCTAACATGATGGCAGGCTGCCTGAGCAGGTGCGACAGCTTGGCAGTGACAGCCGTATGCTGCAGGCCACCTGCTGAAAAAGCCCTTTTGTTTCGATGTGAAGTTACCTCTTCTGTACTCTAGCTTGTCAGAAAAGCCCCTGGGAGCTTGTGTAAGCTATCTCAATCCAATCAAGGATTTATTCATTTTGACCCTGCGCTGTGTGCTGATGAGGAGCTTGTTTATGTCTCTGTGTTGCTGACTCTGCTTCTGCCAGGATCTCCACCCCTGCTTGTGCCTGTAGATGGGTCAGCTGAGAAGGTACAAGAGCTGGGGGGGAGATTTCAGGTTTGGAAAGAGTAAAGTTCATTTGTCTCATTTCACTATTGTTTGGTGCCCTGATCTGTTACACAGTCGTTGCCCACTTCACGTTGTTTCAGCCTCTGTTCATCATGATTGGAATCCTTCCCTGAGGATTTGTCCCTTGCCTGGAAATCTTTCAGCTAAATCTGTAATGGGAACCATATCTTCTGTTTGAATTAAAGAATTATATGTGCTCCAGTGTGCTTCGGCTGTGGCACCAAACAATAGTGAAATGAGACAAATGAACTTTACTTGGAGTCCCTCCTCATCTGTACTGTCACTCAGTCAAGAAAACATCTCATTTGAGGAGGCAAGACCTTGAAGCCCTAACATTGCTTTCCCTTAGAGTAAGCACAAACCTCTGCTCTGGAACCTACTGGTAGGACAGAACCGGCAGGGTCACTCCTCTTGGTTCCTACTCACACGC